TCTGCTGCTGATCCAGGAACAGGCTTTTTGATGGTCTTGAGGAGGGTGAGGTCTGGTTCCAGCAGGCTGGAATGACTGGGCTGGTTGTGTTGGCAGAATTCCTTTGGCCTTGCCCATGCCCAAGCCAGCGGGAGACACCAATGGCCTGGGTCACTGCTTTCAGTTTACTCCTCAGGTTGAACCCTTTGGGCATCTTCCCCCTGATCCAGCCCGAGACATGGCGTAGAGTCGTCACGCTTTTCCTACGAGCGATGAGACGGCCCGTGGGTTTGGCTGAGACTGCATCTGTAGACCAGGCTGTAGCTGCTTCCTCTCTAGGCTTTTGCCAGCAGCTTACTGGTCCTGTATCGAACAGACGCCATCTTGACTCTGCCCATGACCAGGCCAATGTTTTTCCTGTTTCCCCTGTTTGGCTTCTTTTCATTCGCCATCTTGTTGTTCCTCTTTCGCTCATTCCTGTTCTCCTTGGCCAGATCTTTTCCTTTTGCTTTCAGCAGCATCATCCATCATCAGCCTTTAGGGGCTTTGGATGAAGTTGAGGTAGCTTCATCCTCCTGCGTCTCCACTGGGGAAGAAGAAGCATCGTTGTCTTTGATTGAGGTTTTTCTTTGTTTGGCTAGCTTCAGGGTCTGGTCCTTGTATTTTGCAGCGTCAGCCTTGCTAAGGGAAACACCTTTCAGAGTCTGGGCTTCTTCCTCTGCTCGACTGACTTCCTGTTTCCCTTTCTTTTTCTCTGCTTTCATGGGTTTCTATGGTGTCACGGGTTTGTCAGCCATCTTGGATTTCAGACCCCTGCTTGGGCAGGGACGCTGGTAGTCAAACTGAGTTGTGGTACAACGGCAACTTTCTTTGGCAACTCTCTTTTCATTGAAGTTACCTTCTCAGATTCATGTCCATCGCTGGTCACAGCCTCTGATTCTTCCTCTTCCCCCTTCTCGTCCTCTTCCTCACTACTGACTGGATTCTCTTTAGGTTCCCCTCATTTCCTGATTTGCAATTTCTCTGTAGGTTCCTCCTCCGATTCCTGGTCTACCTGCCCCTCTGTGCTTCTCTCTGTGTCTGACACCACAACCTCCTCTTCGCTGCTCTCCTCTGTCGTCTCCTCATTACAAACTGGCTCCTCTTCGCTCTCCTCCACTGAGCGCTCTCCCTTGCTCTCAGATTCCTCAGTCTCCTCCCCGTTTTCACTCACTATGACAGCTATCTTTTTTTTTTGTACAGTCTTTGCTAAGCTAGGTGTTATAGGTGTAGGTGTTATAGGTGTAGGTGTGTCTCCCCTCCCTCCTTTGGTTGGGGGTGTTTTTTGATCCAGGTTTAGATCTGATAGCTTTATTTATCCCGCCTTTAGCAGTCATCCTTTTCTTCTGAGAGGATGATCTAGCATTCAGACTTTTTCACTGTTTTCGATTTGATGTTCTTTGGACGGCTCTTTCCCTTTCTTGCTACTCTTCTTCTTCTTTGTTCCTCTCTACTTCCTTTGACCTCTTTTTATTGCCCTTTCCTACCTTTCCATTGGCGACTGCAGGTGGGGGGGGTTGTTTTCTCTTGTTCTCCCAGGTCGGCTTTCTTCCTTTGTTTCTTTCCGGTGTCTGTTTTCTTCTCTCTCCTACCTTTAATTTTTTTTACAGGTGAAATGTCAAGCTTTTATTCCTCTTTTGTTTGAATAAAATGATTACCTGCAGATGCAGAGGGGGAACATAACTACAGACAATATGGTAAAGAAGATAAGTTCAAGTTACCCAGCACAGGAATGAATAACAAAGTATGGGAGATAAATATATACTGAACAAAAATATAAATGCAACATGCAACAATTTCAAGACTTTACTGAGTTACAGTTCATATAAGGAAATCAGTCAATTGAAATAAATAAATTAGGCCCTAATCTATGGATTTCACATGACTGGGCAGATGCACAGCCATGGGTGGGCCTGGCCCAGCCAATCTGAATTAGTTTTACCCACAAAAGGGCTTTATTTAAGACATAAATACTTGTCAGTTTCGTTAGCTGTTCGGGTGGCTGGTCTCAGACGATCCTGCAGGTGAAGAACCCGGATCTTATGTCTCTACTTTCAGTAAAACCTTCCAACTTGCCTCAGAGAAGGAATCACTCAGGCGCTCACACACATACATGTTTAGATAACTTCATAAATAGATGCAAGGGCACCAGGTCATGTAACAAGCTTGTCAACAGAGTTAGTCAGCATTAGGACAGTTTCAGACATTTTACACCATGATCCCGATGGCCACTTGACACACAGGCCGTAGGTTAGACACACAGCTAAGCTACTGACCCCATTAGCTACGGTATCACAAAAGTACTATCATAGTTCTATTGTATTAGCAGACAACATAGGACTTGCTATGGCTAACTACCACAGACAAAAATAACTTCAGGTTTTTGTTATTCAGTTGATGTTCACTAACATTTAAATAATTTTGAACATAGCAAAAGAAAAGCCATTGTAACATCCTACATGGCTATAAATGTTTGGATCTCAGCTTGATAAAGTAACACTAGCTGTAGATTGATCTAAATTATGTGCCATCTCTATAGCTATTCATATTGGGCAGCTGGTGAACGAGGGAGAAGAAAGATGAGAGCAGGTGTGTGGCGAGATTGACAATAGGTGATGACAAACAAGGGAGAGATTGAGAGAATGAAAGAGAGCAGTGCATTCTCTTGGAAAGAATGATTCCATTAGTGCTCTGGAATGCACGGGCTAAGCGCGCCTTCCATCCCCCCCTCTTCTTCACAGTAAATTCATATCACCCTTTTCAGTTGAAGAGCATTATATTATAGCTAATCTACTAAAACAAAATAATATGCAACTGAAAAGGTTTTACTTATGGACCAGGTAACGGCATGTCAACAATATGAAAAGGCATTGTATTGGCTACATGAGTGTACAATATGCTCTAAACGGCGCATTCTGGCAGAGATCATCATAGTCCATATGGGCCAAGGTGCTTTCTGTCATGTTTGAACAGACAATTAATACATTCTCCCTTTTGCCACCAATAGAGAGTGAGGTGTTGAGCTGCCTGGTCTTTGAGGGCAGTCCTATTGGAGAGGTTACGTTTCACCAAAGCAATTGTGGCCCAGGCACTTAGTGAACAAAGCACTGCTCCATAATGGATTATTAAAACTCTTGGCTGTGCTTGTATGAAAACAGATTCCTCCTTTATCCACTTGACCGGCCAGCACCAAACTCACGAGGCTCAGGATATACCCTCAGGCCATAGCCATCAGATGTACAGTGGGGAGAACAAGTATTTGATACACTGCCGATATTGCAGGTTTTCCTACTTACAAAGCATGTAGAGGTCTGTAATTTGTATCATAGGTACACTTCAACTGTGAGAGACGGAATCTAAAACAAAAATCCAGAAAATCACATTGTATGATTTTTAAGTAATTGATTTTCATTTTATTGCATGACATAAGTATTTGATACATCAGAAAAGCAGAACTTAATGTTTGGTACAGAAACCTTTGTTTGCAATTACAGAGATCATACGTTTCCTGTAGGTCTTGACCAGGTTTGCACACACTGCAGCAGGGATTTTGGCCCACTTTTCCATACAGACCTTCTCCAGATCCTTCAGGTTTCGGGGCTGTCGCTGGGCAATACGGACTTTCAGCACCCTCCAAATATTTTCTATTGGGTTCAGGTCTGGAGACTGGCTAGGCCACTCCAGGACCTTGAGATGCTTCTTACGGAGCCACTCCTTAGTTGCCCTGGCTGTGTGTTTCGGGTCGTTGTCATGCTGGAAGACCCAGCCATGACCCATCTTCAATGCTCTTACTGAGGGAAGGAGGTTGTTGGCCAAGATCTCGCGATACATGGCCCCATTCATCCTCCCCTCAATACGGTGCAGTCGTCCTGTCCCCTTTGCAGAAAAGCATCTCCAAAGAATGATGTTTCCACCTCCATGCTTCACGGTTGGGATGATGTTCTTGGGGTTGTACTCATCCTTCTTCTTCCTCTAAACACGGCGAGTGGAGTTTAGACCAAAAAGCTCTATTTTTGTCTCATCAGACCACATGACCTTCTCCCATTCCTCCTCTGGATCATCCAGATGGTCATTGGCAAACTTCAGACGGGCCTGGAAATGCGCTGGCTTGAGCAGGGGGACCTTGCGTGCGCTGCAGGATTTTAATCCATGACGGCGTAGTGTGTTACTAATGGTTTTCTTTGAGACTGTGGTCCCAGCTCTCTTCAGGTCATTGACCAGGTCCTGCCGTGTAGTTCTGGGCTGATCCCTCACCTTCCTCATGATCATTGATGCCCCACGAGGTGAGATCTTGCATGGAGCCCCAGACCGAGGGTGATTGACCGTCATCTTGAACTTCTTCCATTTTCTAATAATTGCGCCAACAGTTGTTGCCTTCTCACCAAGCTGCTTGCCTATTGTCCTGTAGCCCATCCCAGCCTGTGCAGGTCTACAATTTTATCCCTGATGTCTTTACACAGCTCTCTGGTCTTGGCCATTGTGGAGAGGTTGGAGTCTGTTTGATTGAGTGTGTGGACAGGTGTCTTTTATACAGGTAACGAGTTCAAACAGGTGCAGTTAATACAGGTAATGAGTGGAGAACAGGAGGGCTTCTTAAAGAAAAACTAACAGGTCTGTGAGAGCCGGAATTCTTACTGGTTGGTAGGTGATCAAATACTTATGTCATGCAATAAAATGCAAATTAATTACTTAAAAATCATACAATGTGATTTTCTGGATTTTTGTTTTAGATTCCGTCTCTCACAGTTGAAGTGTACCTATGATAAAAATTACAGACCACTACATGCTTTGTAAGTAGGAAAATCGGCAAAATCGGCAGTGTATCAAATACTTGTTCTCCCCACTGTATGTACCTTGTTGTGAATGTTGTGATTGAGGGGAGGACAGTCAGAGCATGGCTTGAACCAGCAACCCTAATGTTCAATCAAGCAGTGAATAAAGTCAAACTTCATAGAAAGGAACAGACATGAACTCGTGAAAAAAAAAACATGTATTCATTTTCCAGCAGGACATTGTAGTGTGAAAGTTAGATTCAAAAATTAGGGTTCTCATACTCAACCATTCACTACAAAAATATATTCTAGAGCAGACCACTAAAATGCTAAAATACCCAGCATTTTGAGAAACAGTACCAAAATATTTCCTTGTAAGATCTGACTATTGCAGACAACCCCCATTAATAAAACAGACCCAACCGTTAACAGGCCTAGAATCATCATATAGCACATATATATTAAACATTTGACTACAATATCTTAATATTACATTCCTAAATTACATTATTCATTGCGGTGTTGAAAAAAAAGGACGTTTACATGATAAAAATTTAAAACCCCCATAGAAAGTTGTTCCCCTAGAAAGTACAACATGGTATGCTACACAGTAGTGGACAAGTACCTACGACAGGTTATAACTTATAACTGGTTATTACACGTTAACGAGCGGACGGTAGGGGCAGGTCAGTTGGCATAAAAACGCTTGGGGAGACATTTACGGCACAGTGGTCTTATATGACTAGTCTGGTAGGCAGATCTGTTTCTGAGTTGGCAAAAGCAAGAACGGAGCCTGTATACACAAGGAGCGCTGATCCAGGACCTGTCCATATTACACAAGGAGCGCTGATCCAGGACCTGTCCATATAATCTTCCAGACATAAAAAGGCTAAACTGATCCTAGAACAGACTGTTGTTCTAGTATCAGGTGTGGATATGGTTTCTGCTCTAGCTACCAGACTGTTGTTCTAGTATCAGGTGTGGTTTAAAATGAACTGTTGTGATTCCACAGATACTCATGTGTTGCTCTCGCTCTCTCACACCAAACAATGTCTTGTCAGCATCAGCAAACAAACTACTACGTCAAAACAGGTCACTTTTTTTTTTAACATTCTTGTTTTCCTTGTACAGTTCCCCCCCCTCCCCATCCATCCATCTAGATTGTAGATCAAATCAAAACAATACAAAATCACATTAAAATTAAATTACTAATAAAACAGGAATAAAAACATGTCCGTCCGTCCGTCCCTCCTCCCCCTCTCCCCCGTGTCTCTCTCTAAGAGACGAAGGCAAGCGAGGATGTGCTGAGGCAAGGTTGGGATTGGACGAACCAGAGTTCCACAGGTCCGCTTGGGTTCAATGGCGAAAGGCTGAAGGTCGGAAGGCCGTGACTGGGGTCGGGGTGAGGAGAGAGTGGGTGGGTGAGTGAGTAGGGTGTTTTAAATGCAATTATGGCTTGTGTGTGAATGTGTGTGTTAACTAAGTGGCTTTGGATAAGCGCGTCAGCGGAATGACCATATTATCATTACCACCGTGTGGCAGGTGTAGAGGTACTGAGTGTAGGAGGGTATCACAGTAAAGTGGTTGGTCTTTAGGCACAGCCGGTGGTCCCCCTCTCCATCTCTCTCCTCTCTATATGGGCTAGTCTCAGATCACACCCTAGTCCTCATACACTACACCACTCACCCTATATGGGCTTTGCTCAAAAGCAGTGCACTACTTGGGGAATACAGTGCCATTTGGGGTTCAGCCTCTCAGGCTAGGGGTCAGGGGTGAGTCTCTGGGGGCTAGGGGTCATGGTTCAGGGGTCAGTAGTGGCAGTAGTAGTGTTGGCGTAGTTTGCTAGGCAGGAGTCGCTAGGCAGACTCCACGATCATGCCCAGGAGAGGCTGGCTCAGTCTGAGAGCGAGAGAGGCAGAGAGAGAGAGAGGCAGAGAGAGAGAGAGGCAGAGAGAGAGAGAGGCAGAGAGAGAGGCAGAGAGGGAGAGAGAGGCAGAGAGAGAGAGCGGCAGAGAGGCAGAGAGAGAGAGAGGCAGAGAGAGAGAGAGAGGCAGAGAGAGAGAGAGAGGCAGAGAGAGAGAGAGGCAGAGAGAGAGAGAGGCAGAGAGAGAGAGAGGCAGAGAGAGAGAGAGAGGCAGAGAGGCAGAGAGAGAGCGAGGCAGAGAGCGAGAGAGAGAACAAGAGATGAGCAAAACAAATGAACAACCTCAATGCCATCGCCATAGTAATCATCATCACCATTGTGATACTCATCATACTCCTCTAGACTAATACTGATCCAGACCTGGGTTCAAATACCATTTCAGACCTGGGTTCAAATACCATTTCAGACCTGGGTTCAAATACCATTTCAAATATCTTAGTTACTTTCACATACATTCAAAATAGATATTCAGTGGCTGAATATTTTTAATGTTTTTGGAAACACACTTGGAAAGTTTTTGAAAAAACTAAAATATACTGACTAAAATACAGTACACTCATGCATTTAAGCTAGGTATTTTAAATTGTATTTAAAAAAAATACTAAACAAAAATATAAATGCAACATCTAAAGTGTTGGTTCCATGTTTCATGAGCTGAAATAAAAGATCCCAGAAATGTTCCATCTGCACAAAAAACGTATTTGTTCACATTCCTGTTAGTGAGCATTTCTCCATTGCCAAGATAATCCATCAACCTGACAGGTGTGGCATATCAAGAAGCTGATTAAACGGCATGATCATTACACAGGTGCACCTTGTGCTGGGACAATAAAAGCACACACTAAAATGTGCAGTTTTGTCACAAAATGCAATGCCACAGATGTTTCAAGTTGAGGGAGCGTGCAATTGGCAGGCTGACTGCAGGAATGTCCACCAGAGATGTTGCCAGATAATTTCTCTACCCTAATGTTAATTTATCTACCATAAGCAGCCTCCAACGTTGTTTTAGAGAATTTGGCAGTACGTCCAACCGGCCTCACAACCGCAGACCACGTGTAACCACACCAGCCCAGGACCTCCACATCCGGCTTCTTCACCTGCGGGATCGTCTGAGACCAGCCACCCGGACAGCTGATAAAACTGAGGATTATTTCACTCTGTAATAACGCCCCTTTGTGGGGAAAAACTCATTCTGATTGGCTGGGCCTGGCACCCAAGTGGGTGGGCCTATGCCCTCCCAGACCCACCCATGGCTGCACCTCTGCCCAGTCATGTGAAATCCATAGATTAGGGCCTAATTAATTTATTTCAACTAACTGATTTCCTTATATGAACTGAAACTCAGTAAAACCTAGAAATTGTTGGATGTTGGATGTTTATATTTTTGTTCAGTATAGTTATAGGTGTTATGTGATGAAATTATGTGGTCTTCCTTTCTGCTGAGTGGCATTGGTATTGTGGCTTTATGTGATCTCTGGTCACGTTTTCATTCATCTCAGTTAACCCAGAACTAAAAGCTTGCATAATTTGGTCAGATGCTTAGTTATGTTGACGTAGTCTGGCTACATTCGTTTAAATGCCCTGGTGTCATCCTAGTGGGTCTGTCACAGTGAAGCCGCAGGGACAGACTCACAGTTTTAAAAAATATATATATAAAACATTCATACAAAATGATCACTAAAGTAGTGCACTGGGCTTTTACTAGTCCTGTATTAGCGGACTGATATAGATGCCTTTGGCGCAGGCAAAAAAATATATGTCTCCTCCCCATGGCTGCGCCCCTGTCCAGTCATGTGAAATCCATAGATGAATGAATTTATTTTAATTGACTGATTTCATATGAAGTGTAACTCAGTAAACACGTTGAATGTTGCGTTAATATTTTTGTTCAGTATAGTATTTGAAATAAGTACTTGAAAATACTATTTGGTAGACTATTTGGTTTTTACAAATAACCATTCAAATACTCAAAGTAAAAGTACTCGTTTTGGGCTGTGTATTCGAAAATACTCACACAGAAAAAGTATTTGAAATACCAGATACTCAAATACACATGTATTTGAAGCCAGGTCTGCACTGATCATATCCAACTCACCTCCATTGGACAGCACCTTGCCTCCAGCGAGAGCACTCTTCACGTTGTTCTCCAGGAATGCCCTGTATCAAACACAAATTAGTACCAACAAAACACATTGGCATGTTAAGAGTTAACAGCATTGGGCCAGTAACCAAAAGGTTGCTGATTCGAAAGCCCGAGCTGACCAGGTGAAAAATCTGTCTGTGCCCTTGAGCAAGGCACTTAACCCTAATTGCTCCTGTAAATCGCTCTGGATAAGAGCGTCTGCTAAATGACTCAAATGTCACTTGGCTTCAGGGACGAATACTCACGGCGGGTATCCTTCTAGAGATTTCTGGATCTCCTGAAGCACAGCTGTGAAGAACAAACACGTCAGACCACAGACACACAATGATGATTGACAGTTGCCATGAATTAAGTTGGTCACGATGAAACATGCAATGGTATGGTTATGGATTCCTATGTAGCAGATAGAGCTGATAGTCAGGTGTACTGGATGCCAACAGGACAGTCAAAGTACACACTTCAACGTGGCTCAGCTGGCGAAAGCACGGCGCGAGCAACCCCGCAGGGTTCACATACTAAAAACGTTGCTGTTGGTTACGGTTAAGTTCTGCTGGTTACTCACTCTCGTCATTCAGCAAAGCATGCTCCATCACACGTCTAGCAGAGCGCTCTGAAAACAAACCGCATCGCAGGACGCAGTGAGAACAAACTATCCTCTTAAAAACACAGGCAGCAAGCTGATCAACAAGCAAACAGGCTGACAGCCTAACAGAGACTGTAAGCGCTTGCTGAAGTACTCAGTTAGGCATAGACGCATGCACGTTTCAGTACTAGTGACATAACTATAGGATTATACTCTAGTTGTTTAAAGTAGCACCAACGGCGTGTGATCTTACCCACGTCGTCGGTGTCCCTCGTAGAATTTCTGGAATGAGAAAAAAAAGTTATGTAAAATGTGAAAAGTTACAATTAAGTCAAAAAAAAATCTGTCGATAGTGAAATCCCACTAAAGAGAAACGGTGGGAGTACCTGTGCTCCACAGAGGCCCCGTCAGGCTGTGCCCGAGGCAGGGTGGTGCAGGGTGTCTGGGAGGGCACCTCCACAAGGGAGCGGGGCTCCACCACACAGCGAGCGGACAGAGAGAAACGCTCAAACTCAGACGGAGAGATCAGGTAGAAACCTGAAGAGGAGAAAGACGACAGGAGCGAGGGAGGAAGGAAAGCTGTACACATGAAATGGAAAATGCTTGTGTGAGGTCAAATGTGCGTGTCACGCTCTCCGGCCCTACCCTGTCCGTGCTTGGTGAAGACACAGGATGCGATGCCGCTCACGTCCTCTCTGCGGATACAGGGGTACTGGACCTGCAATTTCACCCCGGGCAACGACACCACGTGGAGGTCTCCCTGATTGGTCAGGACGGTGAGGCCGCTCTCACCGTAGTCCTCCGAGCGGCTGCTGCCGAACCAGGCCACGCCCACCCGGCGCACGCGAGAGCCGTCGATGGCGGTGAGCTTCAACTTCATCTTAGCGCTCACCTTCGGCAGGGTGAACACCTGGAGACAGAGACAAACATTAAATTATTCATTTAAGTCTTGGAGGACAAAACATATTCTGTGTTTCTTTATCAACCTGTGGCCAAATAAAGTGTGAGTGGGGTAGGGTGTGAGTGTGTGTGAGTGAGTGGGGTAGGGTGTGAGTGAGTGAGTGGGGTAGGGTGTGAGTGAGTGGGGTAGGGTGTGAGTGAGTGGGGTAGGGTGTGTGAGTGAGTGGAGTAGGGTGTGTGAGTGAGTGGAGTAGGGTGTGTGTGAGTGGGGTAGGGTGTGAGTGTGTGTGAGTGAGTGGGGTTAGGGTGTGTGAGTGCGGTGTAGTTAGGTTGTTGAGTGAGTTGTATTATGTTGTGTGTGAGTGGGTACGGGTTGTGTGTGTGGGGTAGGGTGTGTGTGTGTGTGTGTGTGTGTGTGTGTGTGTGTGTGTGTGTTGTGTGTGTGTGTGTGGTGGGTGGTCGGGTGTGTTGTGTGTGTGGGTGTGTGTGTGGTGTGTGTGTGTGGTGTGTGTGTGTGCGTCGTGCGTGCGTGCGTGCGTGGTGGGGTCGGGTGTGCGTGTGCGTGCGTTGGTGCGTGGTGGGGTCGGGTGGGTGTGGTGCGTGCGTGGTGGTGGGGTCGGGTTGTGTGTGTGCGTGTGTGGGGTCGGGTTGTGTGTGTGTGTGTGTTGGGTCGGTGTGTGTGGGGTCGGGTTGTGTGTGGTGTGTTGGGTCGGGTGTGTGTGTGGGGTCGTGGTGTGTGTGTGGGTGTGTGTGTGTGTTGTGGTCGTGTGTGGTGTTGTGTGTGTCGTCGGGTGTGTGTGTGTGTGTGTGCGTGGTGGTGTGTGTGTGGGGTAGGGTGTGTGTGTGGTGGGTCGGGTGTGTGGGTAGGGCTGTGTGTGTGCTGGGGTCGGGTGTTGTGTCGTGTGTGGTGTGTGTGGGGCGTCGGTTTGTGGTGTGTGTGCGTCGGTTTGCGTACGGGTGTGTGTGTGTGCGTCGGGTGTGTGTGTGTGTGTGTCGGTGTGTGTGATTGTGTGTGGTCTCGTGTGTGTGTGTGTGGGGTCGGGGTGTGTGTGCTCTGGTGTGGTGTGTGTGCTTCTGGTTTGGTGTGTTGTGAGTGGGTGTGTGGTGCGTCGGTGTGTGTGTGCGTCTGGTGTTGGGTGTGTGCAGCGTCGGGTGTGTGGTGTGTGCGTCTGGTGTGTGGCGTGGGGTCGGGTGTGGTGCCGTGGGGTCAGGTGTGTGCGGTGGGGTCGTTTGGTGTGAGTGGGGTAGGGTGTGTGAGTGTTCTCACCTTAAACTGTTCCTCTGATATCACCAGTAGCTGGTGTGAACCCTGCATGTCAGGTGAGCGGGCCAGGTCGTGTGCCACCTCCAGGGGCTCAGGCAGAGGGGAACCGTGGCCGTCCAACACCACGATGCCCACTACTGGAGCGCGGTGCATCAACTGGATCTCCTTAGCTGGAGAGAGAGAGAGAGAGAGCGAGACAAGGTACGTTTTGGTGTTTGCTTTCACTGACTTCTTTAGAGAGATGGACGAGAGGAGAGGGTCAATGGAGGCACGAGGGAGAGAGATGTGTAAGGACGTCTGTGTGTTCTCACCAGGGTGGGCGGTGACGGGGTCCTCTGCTCTGCGTTCCGCAGGCGGTAGGCGGAGCTGGTAGGCGAATACTGAGCCCCCATTGGTCCCTGCCCACAGAGAGGGCGTGTTGTGGGAGCCTATAGGACAAAAGAGGCATGAGCAATACGAGTCATCACAAATATTAACTAGCCCAGCGTCTGTGTGAGAGAGAGAGACCTACTGTCTGAGAGGAAAGTGTCAGCGAAGTAGAGCGTGCGTACGAGGCCGGTGAAGGAGTCGTCTGGGGATCGAGGCTCGATCTTTCTCTGAACAGGAGCTAACTCCATTTCTGCTAGCTCGGCCTCCAGACGAGCATTGGCCTCCTGCACCTAGAGGCACACGGAGAGAGAGGAGTCTGTTTGAGACACACTTCCTGGTCTTCAACAACTGTGATCTTCAGGGACTTGGTTCAATAAGGATTCATGCAGTCATGTTTAAAATTTTAAAAAAAAATGTTTGGTTGTTGTTTACCTTAGCTGCACTGTTGACGTGGTGTTTGCGTAAAGACACTCGGCTGCGTCTGATCCTTCTGAAGGACTGGCGGAGAGACTTCTTAATGCTCTTTACTCTGGATAGAGGACCTTCCATAGCCAGCTGGTCACTGGGGTTTAGGGTACACCTAAAGCAGGGACAGGGTTAACACACACAGTAGTCTAAATCCCATCTCCGCTACCGGCCATTATTTTGAAGTCATACAGGCAGAAAGATGCAGAAACACACTCTTACCTGACGAGGACGTTGTTTTTCTGCTGGTAGTCGTAGAGTCCGAAGCCGTGGCTGGTGCCGAAGGTCACTAGTTTCCACTCAGAGTGCAGGGTGAGGGCAGTGACCACGGCCGGAGGCTGACACTGGATCAGGGCAAAGGGCTGGAAACCTGGGGGGAACGTCACCGGATCCTCCTTCACCACCAGACGCGTGTGGCCCTGATAGGAAGAGATGGTTACACAAACGTTATAGAACGTTAACGAAATGTTATAGAATGTTACCAAAACGTTATAGTATGTTACAGTATGTTGCCAAAACATAAAACGTATTGATCACTCATCATCTTTAAACTCACTGAAATCCAATGAAATCAAAATTGCATTGCAGTATCTACATTTGTATAACGTCATGTGGTTTACCTTCCAGCGGAAGCCCTCCTGGCCCTGTAAAAGGTCAGCTACTGAGGCTTCCACCGTCTGTTCTGCTGCCTCGTCATTCAGCTCCAACACCAGGATCTATGGAGGGAGAGGTCAGGCAGAGGTCAGACAGGCAGTAACAGGTGTGGGAGTGGTTTTCTAACACTCAGTCAGACGTTCACCTTTCTCTGTCAGTGTGTGCACCCCTGTGCTGGTCAACTAACTCAGACCCCCCCCCCCCCTGTTCTTTTGTTAATGACAGATCAGAATAGAATAGCCTTCCCCCTGATGATCCAGTGCTCTATAAAGGAGGAGAGATCAGTTTCATTTCCACATTTTCTGATTAAAGAAGTGGCTTATTTATCACACTACATTATCTAATGACTATAGGAGAGTTATACAGCATGGGTCTGGAAAATGGGTCGTTCACTGAATGTGTGACTGTCCGTGACCCAAATAACCTCAGGAAAAGATTGCCATGGGGAATCACGACCTGGTGCCAAAGATTGTCGTAAATAAAGACAAAAAAACAAAAAAAAAACAGGCTGGTTTTATACCAGTAATGTCCAAAAATGTCTGACGCTGCACTTTGGCAAACTGGCCACCAGAGGGAGTAGTGGTTGGTTTCCCCTGGTCAACTCACCTGTCCAGCAGTGCCAGCTACAGTCAGGTAGCCGCTGTATTTACACAGGTGGATCTTCTGAACGCCCAGACGAGGGTCGTCACTGTACGGGTCAAAACATCCCACCTGGGGGGAGAAGTGGAGAGAGGGACATGTTATTTATTCAGAGTCACTACATACACAGGGACACCTCTATACCTTTGTGGTTCATGGATGTTATTATACAAACATCAGAATGGTGGTAACTCATTTATACACACACACACACACACACCTACCTTTCTGAAAGGTGGCCACTCTCCCTCTGCGCCCTGGTTCATGTTGTCATTGGGGTCTGCATCAGTGTGGAACACCCCTGCCGTGCTCAGCTTATACATGGGGTACAGACAGACGCCCGACGCATCCCAGAAACGCACCGTACCGTCCTCATGCCTGTGAGAGGGGGAAGGAAGATGAAGACAGGTTTGTGAGGATTAACAAGCAGAGAAACAACACATTACTTTAACTCTTTGGAACCCTGTTCACGGTCTCCATAGCAACATTACTTTAACTCTTTGAAACCCTGTTCACGGTCTCCACATAGCAACATTACTTTAACTCTTTGGAACCCTGTTCACGGTCTCCACAGCAACATTACTTTAACTCTTTGGAACCCTGTTCACGGTCTCCACATAGCAACATTACTTTAACTCTTTGGAACCCTGTTCACGGTCTCCACATAGCAACATTACTTTAACTCTTTGGAACCCTGTTCACGGTCTCCACATAGCAACATTACTTTAACTCTTTGGAACCCTGTTCACGGTCTCCACATAGCAACATTACTTTAACTCTTTGGAACCCTGTTCACGGTCTCCACATAGCAACATTACTTTAACTCTTTGGAACCCTGTTCACGGTCTCCACATAGCAACATTACTTTAACTCTTTGGAACCCTGTTCACGGTCTCCACATAGCAACATTACTTTAAGTCTTTGAAACCCTGTTCACGGTCTCCATAGCAACATTACTTTAACTCTTTGGAACCCTGTTCACGGTCTCCATAGCAACATTACTTTAACTCTTTGAAACCCTGTTCACGGTCTCCATATAGCAACATTACTTTAACTCTTTGAAACCCTGTTCACGGTCTCCATAGCAACATTACTTTAACTCTTTGGAACCCTGTTCACGGTCTCCACATAGCAACATTACTTTAACTCTTTGGAACCCTGTTCACGGTCTCCACATAGCAACATTACTTTAAGTCTTTGAAACCCTGTTCACGGCCTCCATAGCAACATTACTTTAACTCTTTGGAACCCTGTTCACGGTCTCCATAGCAACATTACTTTAACTCTTTGGAACCCTGTTCACTGTCTCCACATAGCAACATTACTTTAAGTCTTTGAAACCCTGTTCACGGTCTCCACATAGCAACATTACTTTAACTCTTTGAAACCCTGTTCACGGTCTCCATAGCAACATTACTTTAACTCTTTGGAACCCTGTTCACGGTCTCCACATAGCAACATTACTTTAAGTCTTTGAAACCCTGTTCACGGTCTCCACATAGCAACATTACTTTAAGTCTTTGAAACCCTGTTCACGGTCTCCACATAGCAACATTACTTTAACTCTTTGAAACCCTGTTCACGGTCTCCACATAGCAACATTACTTTAACTCTTTGGAACCCTGTTCACGGTCTCCACATAGCAACATTACTTTAAGTCTTTGAAACCCTGTTCACGGTCTCCACATAGCAACATTACTTTAACTCTTTGGAACCCTGTTCACGGTCTCCACATAGCAACATTTAACATAGATCCTAACTTGTATTGAAATGAAACTAATGAGCGGTGAATGTCCACTGACCCTGTGAGAAGTAGGTCTCTCTGAGGAGCGTCTGGCGACAGGTTCTGTCCTCCTGTTATAGGCCACGGCTGGACGGAGGGAGACAGGGGGAGACAGGGGGAGACAGGGGGAGACAGAGGGAGACAGGGGGAGACAGAGGGAGACAGAGGAGACAGGGGGAGACAGAGGATGAGAGAACATGTAAGAGAGAGGATTTAGGTCAATCAATTTGAGCTCCATCAATTCAGACCGACTTCCTGCTCAGGTGTTTGCATGGGTGCATGTATGTGTGGTGCAGGAACTTGCTTGAGCAGTGTGTCACCTACCTTCTTAGAGTAGTGTGTGTTCTGCAGTGCCCCTGCAGACAGGACCTTCTCCCACAGCTTTAGGGGTATAGCAGAGACATGGTGGGAGCAGGTGATGGCAGAGCAGTGGAGAGGCACCAGGTACGGAGTCTGGATGACTGGCCACCCTTCAGTCTGGAGATCGATCACTACCAGCTCCTCTTCCACTAGCACGACCAGCGCACTGGGGTCGCCTGGACAGAGGGAGAGGGATTAGGCTGGCTGTGTTGGTGGTCAGTGTGTGTGTGTGTGTAGCCCCCTGCCTTTCTACCTGTGTGATCTGGTCCGTCTCTGATGACGAAGAAGTCGATGATTCTGGAGGTGAAGTCCAGAGCCACGTGTGTTTTACTGTGGATCACACTGATACAGTGTCTGTCTCCGTAGCTGGCCCTGGGCATGCCGCCACTGAACAACAGGAAGGGAGGCCTGGACACACACACACACACAGGGAGAAGACAGAACCAGATTAGAAGATATTTACAGTTGGATTCATGTAGAACAATGGGGGACGTGAAATCTGTTGGGGAAATAATCATTTGGGTCGATCCAGCAGGCACAGGGAGTGAGCACGAGGAAGGAAAGAAACTCACTCACCCTTGTTTTGTAGGGAGCTGGATGATTTTAGAGATGGCCTTACAGGGGAAGTGGCCTGCACAGGAGAGACAAACCGTCAAATCAATTGATGGAGAATCAACGTACCCATTCAGCATTCAATCAATAACGTCATCATCCCTGTCACTGTGTTCTGTGAGGTTCAACAGAGAGGAACAGGACTTTGACTTGTGATGCTTCCTCACCGTACGGTACTTCGGACTTCTCCTGTTCGCTCTGTGTCCCCTCCCCGGCCACTGTCCAGCGGCAGTAGCTGCCGTCGCTATGGGAACTGAGAACATGGTCACCGTCCTCCGTCCACCACACGCTCTCCAGTTGCTATAGACGCAGAGTCAAACAGGGAGTCAAGACCAGAGCCCTGGAGATCCAGACACCAACACAGAGACACAGACCCACATTGTACCTGTGTAGCGGGGATGTGTTTGACTGCTGACTGGCGCTCCATGTCCCAGATGACCATGACGCCTCGCCCGTAGCCAATCAGAACCTGGCGTGGGTTGACGGGATTCTCCTGTAAGGACTCGACATGCTCCAGGCTCCTACGACCTCCATACTCCTCTGGTACACTACAGAGGGAGGGAAAGATGGGGTTGGGTTTTAGCATCATTATGGATCAAGTACGTGTGTGTGTGTGTGTGTGTGTGTGTGTGTGTGTGTGAGAGAGAGAGAGAGAGAAATTGTGTGGGAGGCATTAACACTAATCAATAGCAGATTCCAGCTGTTTAGGGGACAAATATTTCCAACTCAGTGACTTTAAAGCAATTAAAGGCAGCACACTAATGTGGGGGGTAAATTACCCTAGTGTGGGGTGTAAATTACCCTAGTGTGGGGTGTAACCTACCCTAGTGTGGGGTGTACCCTACCCTATGGGGGTGGGTAACCTACCCTAGTGTGGGGGGTAATTACCTAGGGTGGGGGAACCTACCCTAGTGTGGGGGGTCACCTACCCTAGTGTGGGGGGGTAACCTCCCTAGTGTGGGGGGTAACCTACACTAGTGTGGGGTGTAACCTACCCTAGTGGGTGTAACCTACCCTGTGTGGGGGGTAACCTACCCTAAGTGTGGGGGGTAACCTACCCTAGTGTGGGGGGTACTACCTAGTGTGGGTAAATTACCTAGTGTGGGGTGTAACCTACCTAAGTGTTGGGGGTAAATTACCTAGTGTGGGGATGTAACCACCCCTAGTGTGGGGTGTAACCTACCCTAGTGTGGGGTGTAACCTACCTAGTGTGGGGTGTAACCTACCCTAGTGGTGGGGTGTACTACCCTAGTGTGGGGGTGTAACTACCCTAGTGTGGGGGTAAATTACCCTAGTGTGGGGGTAACCTACCCTAGTGTGGGGGTAACCTACCCTAGTGTGGGGGGTAAATTACCCTAGTGTGGGGGTAACCTACCCTAGTGTGGGGGTAAATTACCCTAGTGTGGGGTGTAAATTACCCTAGTGTGGGGTGTAACCTACCCTAGTGTGGGGTGTAACCTACCCTAGTGTGGGGTGTAACCTACCCTAGTGTGGGGGGTAAATTACCCTAGTGTGGGGGGTAAATTACCCTAGTGTGGGGTGTAACCTACCCTAGTGTGGGGGTAAATTACCCTAGTGTGGGGTGTAACCTACCCTAGTGTGGGGGGTAACCTACCCTAGTGTGGGGGGTAAATTACCCTAGTGTGGGGTGTAACCTACCCTAGTGTGGGATGTAACCTACCCTAGTGTGGGGTGTAACCTACCCTAGTGTGGGGGGTAAATTACCCTAGTGTGGGGGGTGTAACCTACCCTAGTGTGGGGTGTAACCTACCCTAGTGTGGGGGGTAAATTACCCTAGTGTGGGGTGTAACCTACCCTAGTGTGGGGGGTAAATTACCCTAGTGTGGGGTGTAACCTACCCTAGTGTGGGGTGTAAATTACCCTAGTGTGGGGTGTAACCTACCCTAGTGTGGGGGGTAAATTACCCTAGTGTGGGGGGTGTGCGTGTACCTGTTGGTGACGTTCTCCAGGCTGATGTTCTTCTCCTCTAGTTCTCTGAAGCCCGGTACCTCCACTACGAACACGTGGCCTCCCTCTGTTCCCAGAAACAGCAGCTTCCCAGAGGAGTGGGCTAGCACTGCCGTCACCCGAGTTACACTGGGGGGAGCACTGACGGAGGGAATGAGAAAGAGAGGGAAAGAGGGAGGGATGAGATGAAGTTAACAGGTTGAATCTGGCAAAGACAAAGTTTTAAAAAGCGAGCAGTTAAAAGAGCTGGATCCATTGCCTGGGCTACTGGGGGAGGTTGAGGCCTTAAAAACAGGAATGATTACAGTAATAAAATGGAAGAAATACAAGCTGAAAAGAAGATATTGAAAACTACCGTGGACTCCCTAAAAGACACTACGGAGAGGATACGGTATGAAAATAAAACAATGAAAGCAGAATGATTTGATCTAAAGTGCAGAAGTATGAATAATAATATTGTTACAATGGGAATAAAGGAGGAGGACAACTATCAGTCAACGGAGGAAAAAGTCAAGGGGGTTCATGAAACATAATCTCAAATTGACGGACGAACAGCTGGATACAATTGATTTTCAAAGAGCTCACCGTTTGAGGGGAGGGAAAGCCCCGTCTGATAGTAGCTATGCTAACTCACTACAAAATGAAGGGGAGGGAAAGCCCCGTCTGATAGTAGCTATGCTAACTCACTACAAAATGAAGATTGCCTTGTTACAACAACAGGGTAGGGAACTGAAGAACACCCTGTTCTCTATTAATGAACAATTTCCCCATGAAATAGTGGAGACGACGTGCCCTGCACCCCACTTTCAAAAGGCTCCGAGCAGAGAAGCAGAATGTTCATCAATTGGTCGATAAAATTGTACGCAAACAACCAAATGTTCAAGGACTCGAAGATGACAACATGGCTGCGAGTGATAGCAGGAGGTAGCTGAAGTAATCCCCGATACACATTGTACTACATTACAATTATGGATTAATAAAAAATAAAAAAACATATTTTTAAAATGTTATGCATGGACATTCTTTCTTCTCTCGTGCAGTACGGAACCGTTGACTTCTGGGAAATGCGAAATGGGTACTTATCCTTTTTATTTAGGCAATATGGAACCTTGGACTACATGACCTTAAACATCTGGTTTTGATTCAGGGAAGGTGAAGATGGGTAAGGCTGAATTTTTAGATTTTTGTTTGGCTATTTAATTTGAAGATTGCACAGGCAGTGAATTAGAAATACCAAGTTTTTTTGTTTTGTTTGATATGATATGGCCTGATTGCAGATATCGGGGTATATTAGGACTTAAAATCTGTTATACAGTGCATTCGGAAAGTGTTCAGACCCCCTTTACTTTTTCCACATTGTTACGTTACAGCCTGATACTAAAATTGATTAAAAAATATATTTTAAAAATCTCAATCTACACACAATACCCCATATTAACCAAGCAAAAACAGGTTTAGACATTTTTGCAAATTTATAGAATAGAAAAACCTGAAATATCACATTTACATAATTATTCAGACCCTTTACTCAGTACTTTGTTGAAGCACCTTTGGCAGCAATTAAAGCCTTGAGTCTTCTTGGGTATGACGCTAAAAGCTTGGCACATCTGTATTTGGGGAGTTTCTCCCATTCTTCTCTGCAGATCCTCTTAAGCTCTGTCAGGTTGGATGGAGAGCGTTGCTGCACTGCTATTTTCAGGTCCCGAAGCCACTCCTGCGTTTTCTTGGCTGCATACTTAGGGTCGTTGTCCTGTTGGAAGGTGTAACGTTCGCCCCAGTCTGAGCGCTCTGGAGCAGGTTTTCATCAAGGATCTCTCTGTACTTTGCTCCGTTCATCTTTCCCTTGATCCTGACTAGTCTCCCAGTCCCTGCCGCTGAAAAACATCCCCAGATCATAATGCTGCCACCCCCATGCATCACCGTAGGGACGGTTTTCAAGTTTCCTCCGGACGTGACGCTTGGCATTCAGTTCAAAGAGTTCAATCTTGGTTTCATCAGACAAGAGAATCTTGTTTCTCATGGTCTGAGAGTCTTTAGGTGCCTTTTGGCAAACTCCAAGCGTGCTGTCATGTGCCTTTTACTGAAGAGAAGCTTCCGTCTGGCCACTCTACCATAAATGCCTGATTGGTGGAGTGCTGCAGAGATGGTTGTCCTTCTGGAAGGTTCTCCCATATCCACAGAGGAACTCTGGAGCTCTGTCAGAGTGACCATCGGGTTCTTGGTCACCTCCCTGACCAAGGCCCTTCTCCCCAGATTGCTCAGTTTGGCTGGAAGGCCAGCTCTAGGAAGAGTCTTGGTGGTTCCAAACTTCTTCCATTGAAGAATGATGGAGGCCACTGTGTTCTTGGGGACCTTCAAAGCTGCAGAAATCTTTTGGTACCCTTCCCCACAATCCTGTCTCGGAGCTCTCAGAAAAATTCCTTCGACCTCATGGCTTGGTTTTTGCTCTAAATGCACTGTCAACTGTGGGACCTTATATTAGACAGGTGTGCGCCTTTCCAAATCATGTCCAATCAACTGAATTTACCACAGGTGGACTCCAATCAAGTTGTAGAAACATCTCAAGGATGATCAATGGGAACAGGATGCACCTGAGCTCAATGTTGAGTCTCATAGCAAAGGGTCTGAATACTTATGTAAATAAGGCATGTTTTTTATTTATTCATTTGCTAAACATTTTAAAAACCTGTTTTTGTTTTGTCACTATATGGTATTGTGTGTAGATTGATGAGGAAAATATTGAATTGAATACATTTGAGAATAAGGCTGTAACATAACAAAATGTGGAAAAAGTAAAAGGGCCTGAATACTTTTCGAATGCACTGTATATGGGGCATACAACAATCTCTGCTCTGTAGAATGCTCTGTATATGGGGCATACAACAATCTCTGCTCTGTAGATTTTGCTGCGAAGAGAGAATCACGAGATCATTTATTCTGGTATTGCCCCTACGGTCATCAGTATAAAAGACACCTGTCCACAACCTCAAACAGTCACACTCCAAACTCCACTATGGCCAAGACCAAAGAGCTGTCAAAGGACACCAGAAACAAAATTGTAGACCTACACCAGGCTGGGAAGACTGAATCTGCAATAGGTAAGCAGCTTGGTTTGAAGAAATCAACTGTGGGAGCAATTATTAGGAAATGGAAGACATACAAGACCACTGATAATCTCCCTCGATCTGGGGCTCCACGCAAGATCTCACCCCGTGGGGTCAAAATGATCACAAGAACGGTGAGCAAAAATCCCAGAACCACACAGGGGGACCTAGTGAATGACCTGCAGAGGGCTGGGACCAAAGTAACAAAGCCTACCATCAGTAACACACTACGCCGCCAGGGACTCAAATCCTGCAGTGCCAGACGTGTCCCCATGCTTAAGCCAGTACATGTCCAGGCCCGTCTGAAGTTTGCTAGAGTGCATTTGGATGATCCAAAAGACGATTGGGAGAATGTCATATGGTCAGATGAAACCAAACCAACTTGTAGTGTTTGGAGGACAAAGAATGCTGAGTTGCATCCAAAGAACACCATACCTAGTGTGAAGCATGGGGGTGGAAACATCATGCTTTGGGGCTGTTTTTCTGCAAAGGGACCAGGACGACTGATCCGTGTAAAGGAAAGAATGAATGGGGCCATGTATCGTGAGATTTTGAGTGAAAACCTCCTTCCATCAGCAAGGGCATTGAAGATGAAACGTGGCTGGGTCTTTCAGCATGGCAATGATCCCAAACACACCGCCCAGGCAACGAAGGAGTGGCTTCATAAGAAGCATTTCAAGGTCCTGGAGTGGCCTAGCCAGTCTCCAGATCTCAACCCCATAGAAAATCTTTGGAGGGAGTTGAAAGTCTGTGTTGCCCAGCGACAGCCCCAAAACATCACTGCTCTAGAGGAGATCTGCATGGAGGAATGGGCCAAAATACCAGCAACAGTGTGTGAAAACCTTGTGAACCTTTCTGGTCACAGGTTCAGGAATGGTGAAAAATAATTCATAACATTCACTTAAAATTGACCTTACAAATTACAATGTTGGGCGATTTGCAAAGCCACAGGCAATCAATCAATAATATAATAAACACTTGTAGGAAATGTTTCCATCTTTAGCTCACAATCTGGATACTATGCGATTAGAAAGGTTCAAAATTCATGTAAAACATCACAGCACAATTGAAAAATATATGGCACAAGGAAACCAAACGAGGGTGGTCTATGGTGATAGGTGGGATGGGCTGAGAGTGGCATTAAAAAAGCTCATGTTCGGTAATGTTGATGTTATTGTTAATGCTGTATATAAAAATAACACGTATGGAAAATGTATATGCAGTACCAGTCAAAAGTTTGGACACATCTACCCATTTCAGGGTTTTTCCTTTATTTTTTTACTATTTTCTACATCGTAGAATAATAGTGAAGACATCAAAACTATGAAATAACACATATGTAATCATGTAGTAACCAAAAAAGTGTTAAACTAATCAAAATATATATTTTATGAGATTCTTCAAAATAGCCATCCTTTGCCTTGATGACAGCATTTCAGGTGAAGCTGATTGAGAGAATGCCAAGAGTGTGCAAAGCTGTCATCAAGGCAAAGGATGGCTATTTTGAAGAATCTCATAAAATAAACTAATCAAAATATATATTTTATGAGATTCTTCAAAATAGCCATCCTTTGCCTTGACAGCATTTCAGGTGAAGCTGATTGAGAGAATGCCAAGAGTGTGCAAAGCTGTCATCAAGGCAAAGGATGGCTATTTTGAAGAATCTCAAAAAATATATATTTTGATTAGTTTAACACTTTTTTGGTTACTACATGATTCCATATGTGTTATTTCATAGTTTTGATGTCTTCACTATTATTCTACAATGTAGAAAATAGTAAAAAATAAAGAAAAACCCTTGAATGAGTAGGTGTGTACAAACTTTTGACTGGTACTGTATATGTAGCAGAAAAGCAGTAAAAACCAAAAAGGTGCGTCCTATGAAGGGGGGGGGGGGGGGGGGGGGGGGGTTAATAATAAAAATACTATTTAAGGTGCATCCATGTTTGCCATTGAATGTGTGCATGTCACCATAGAAATATATTTTCTATCTAGTTCTGTGCATGTCACTCAGTGAGTCTGTTACCATGGCGATCCAATGAGTTCGAATGTGTGAGAAATAGAAAGCAAGATTGAGAGGGGGTAGGAGAGAAATCAAGTCAGGAAGTGGTGGGGTGTAGTGTGTGTGTGTGTATGTGTCTCACCCCGGTGGTCCAGTGAGTGTGAAGCGTCCTATCTCCAACAGCTCAGAGACTCCTTGGTGAGCTCTGAGGGTCCACATGTGGAGACTGTTGTCATCCAACAGAGTCACCAACTCAACCTATTCAACACAGACCAACCCGGGACGTTATTGGGACTTTAGGAGGACGTTATTGGGATATTGTTGGGACGTTAGGGGGGACGTTACTAGGACGTTAGGGGGACGTTACTAGGACGTTAGGGGAATGTTACTGGGACGTTACTGGGACGTTAGGGGGACGTTACTAGGACGTTAGGGGGACGTTACTGGGACGTTAGGGGGACGTTACTGGGACGTTAGGGGGATGTTAGCCACAGCTTTAGTACTAACATTTTCAGCAATGTCAACAGGACCAGTAATAGGAGCACATAGCCATCACATCCACATACAGGGCTCTACATTAACATTTTTTCATAACTTAAAAAATTAGGAGCACAATATAACATTTAGGAGCACCAGAATATTTGGTTAATTGATTGAGATATAGCATATCGGGCCAATATGAATTCTAGCTACGTTTGAAGCACGTTGTGCTCTAAAGACATTTGTTTATTATAAAAAGCTAAAATGTTGATACAAAAACCTGTCAATGAAATTAGTCATATGTGGAATATTAGGTTTCTACATCAGTACCACCTACTGAGATGCATTACATTGAACATTCTACACTGTCTCTTTAAGAGCCTCAAGTTAGTGAGTGACGACATGCAAGAGATCAGTCATTCATTCCTACGATCATTGATCTTCTAAAGAAGCTATCCCTTTTCTTTCAGTGCCCCCAGATGTTTAGATATACTGGTAAAGTAACCAGGTTGTTAGCTAGCTAGCTATTGAGATAACATGAATGAACAAGGTGTAAACAAATGCCTGTGAGTGATTTTGAAATGACCCGCGACATGGTTTATGAACAGGGCCTAAGAACTAACTTTTAGCTCCACCAGCCACTGTAGCAGATCGATGAATAAAAGTCATTCTTACCAGCCAATACATTTGTTTTCCATAATAAACAAAAAAACTTTCGGCTTTCTAACTTTTCTTTTTCCAGGTTTGTGATTTCTCCTAGTTTTTTCCCCCCCTCAGGTTCACACTCTCAAAACCATATACATTTATTACATTTTTTGATTGAAAAACCACCAAATTGGATGTTCTAAGTCCACAACAATGCTTAAACCATATCAGGAGAACACTTTTGAGGTCTGGGGAAGATAATTTTTCGGAGGGTATAGTTTCCCCCGTTAATTTTAAATTAAACGGGGAAACTATTGAGGGGCACCTCAAGAGACCGGTGTTTGGCTGGCGGTGTTTCTGTACTGCATGAGCAATAGCAGAGTTAGCTAAACAAAAGACACCGGATTGATAAAAACCATCATGATATCATATCATTCTGCCAGGTAAGTCTACTTTATGGGAAAGCCTTTAGAAATGACTGGCTGACTACACAAAGTGGTAGACACAGGCATTCCCATGCCGTCACGTCTTCATAAAGTTGCAAGAAATACAAAAATCACTGATGAGTTCTTTGATATTCTTTGGATTGATCGAACCGTCGCTCGCTTTTTCCTCTAGGGCACTCAGAAACAACTTCCCAGTGAAGCCTATCATTACAACTGTTATTATCTGCACTGGTGCTCCCAAAATAAATTGTCAGGTTGAACAACAAAAAATATCTAGGAACATATGTGACCAAAATGGATGCCCTTTAGAGCCCTGTCCACATATTGGATTCAAGTTATTTATTTTCAGTAACAGGTGTGAATGGAGCATGAGATAAGGGGTTGCCACAGCACTCTTCAGGCCTGTAGGTAGGTGTGTGTGTGTGTGTGTGTGTGTGTGTGGAGCAGCCACTCACCTGCTGTGGTAAGAAGTGGACCTGTGTGACGGCAGCATTCTCGTCATGTAGACCCATGAACTCTACACCTGGAGCCCCATAACTTACCATGGGTTAAAGAACACACACTTCCTGTACACACACCTGAAGCATGCTACACACACACACACACACACAGGTTTTTCATTTTACTACACTGTATTGAAAGGGTCCATCTAGAGAAAGAGATTGTCTGTTTTCTCTTTCTTTGTCTTATCTGGCTGCCCTGCCATTGGCTAATAATACATTATTCATAGAATTTCTGTTTTGTGTTAGAACAGAACAATTTGCCCCATTGTGTGACTGGAGAGTTATAATGACGGAGACAAGGGTTATCATAGGGAATGAATGGGGAGAGTGTACAGACTGGTTCCACACTGTCAATGAGCAGGATTGTGTCAGATTAAACAAAACTCACTAAAAACAGAGATACACAGACAGACACACACACACACACCCCAACTGTCTGGTACAGTCAGGGCTGAGTAATACCCTGGGAAAATAAGATAACTCCACATGTACTCACTAACCACAAATGCACACACTAACCACAGACAGCTAAAGTAGAGGGCAACTCTGAGACCAACTGGTTGAAATGTTTTGACACTCTTACACAGCCAGCCAGACCCTTCCCTGTGTGTGTGTCTATTGAAGGATACAGTTTGATGGCTCCGGAGCGTGTGCCGATGGCCAGGAGCTGTAGACTGGGGCTGAAGACCAGCGCACTGGGCTGGTGGGGAAAACCATGCTCCACCGTCTGATGGGGGGGGGGGGGGGGGGGGAGAGAGAGAGAGAGAGAGAGAGAGACTCCCTTATCTACTGGGTGAAATACCACAGTGTGCCATCATTTTATATACAACCCATATTTATGTTTATTTATGTTCCCTTTTGTACTTCAACTATGTGCACATTGTTACAACACTGTATATAGACACATAATGACATTTGAATTGTCTATTCCTTTGAAACTTGTGTGAGTAATATTTACCCGTTATTCAGGATTGTTTATTTCACTTATGTTTATTATCTATTTAACAATGTAAACATATGTTTCCCATGCCAATAAAGCCCTTTGAATTGAATTGAGAGGTTATAGAAACTGGCAGGCCAAATCAGCTGACAATTGTCTGGAATTGGGATCATAGCCTTATTGTAGAAATTAGAGATCAGATTGACTGTGTTCCGGCTCTTACCTTGTTGAACCCATAGAGCTCCTGTTTGATCCGATCTCTGTGGGACTCCTGGCCATGTCTCCTAAACCTCTTCATCCTCACTGGAGTCTGAAGAGCAGACAGGCCCAACCACTACACCTCTACAGAGGGAGAGGGGAGGGAGAGAGACAGGGGGACAGAGGGGAGCGTGGGAGGGAGAGAGACAGGGGAGAGGGGAGAGGGGAGAGGGGGAGAGAGAGAGACAGGGGAGAGAGACAGGGGAGAGAGAGAGAGACAGGGGAGAGAGAGGAGAGACAGGGGAGAGGGGAGAGAGAGAGACAGGGGAGAGAGAGAGACAGGGGAGAGAGAGAGACAGGGGAGAGAGAGAGACAGGGGAGAGAGAGAGACAGGGGAGAGAGAGAGACAGGGGAGAGAGGAGAGAGGGGAGAGAGAGGAGAGACAGGGGAGAGAGAGAGAGACAGGGGGAGAGAGACCAGGGGGGACAGAGGGAGAGAGACAGGGGAAGAGAGACAGGGGGACAGAGGGAGAGAGACAGGCAGGGGAGAGAGGAGGAGACAGGGGAGAGAGAGAGACAGGGAGAGAGAGAGACAGGAGGAGAGAGAGACAGGGAGAGAGAGAGACAGGGGAGAGAGAGAGACAGGGGAGAGAGAGAGAGGGGGACAGAGGGGAGAGTGGGAGAGCGAGAGATGGTGGGAGAGAGAAGAGAGATTAAAGAGTTATGAGGGGAAGTACAACAGCCTAGCAGACGACAGTCTCCACTCCCTATCTGAGGAACGTGGATGGGAGATAAAGAGACCAAAACTTTCTGGGGAAAAAAAAGAGGGAAAATAACTAAGGAAACAGCAACGAGGAAGTGAAGACTAACAGCTGGGGCAGGAAAGTATAAACCGGGGCTGCTGGGAAAACACGGCTCAGCTGGTGTGTGTGTGTGTGTGTGTACGTACGTGTTGGCCACTGACAGATGAGAGAAAGGAATTCCACAGGCCTACTCTCCTAATCTCTTTGTCTGTGGTCCACACACACACACACACACACACACACACACACACACACCGCCTCCTACGGTGCCTGAGGGGGCAGGGCTGGTCACAAACAGGAGCTAGGGGTCAGGGAGAGACCATTGTTCTACTACACACAGACGCTGATAGAAACACCTGTCACACAGACAAGCGGTTTCCAAAAAGCAGAGAGAGAGAGAGGAGAGGGAGAGAGGAGAGAGCGAGAGGGAAGAAAGAATGAGTGTCTGTCTTTCTTTTCCTTTATCAATAACATTTGCAGAACGTTTAGGGCGTAACGAACCATGACCCGATCAAAACTCTCTCTCCTCTTGTAGACAGTTTAAACCCCTGGACCTCATCGTACTGCGAGGAGGAAGGAAGAGTAGCGGACATCTTAATCTCTACACATACCACTACATTTCCTAAGCACCATCACGTGAAGGAGAGCCTATACCCACTTCAGTGGTCTAAGGCTCAGAGTGTCTAGTACTCTGAATGAACTCAACCCACAACCTCAAAGCTGGGTCTCCCTGGGTCACGACAAGAAACTCCCACAAAAGACCCACAGAAAACCCTACACAAACAGGCTAGTGTTTCATGTTGTTTTCATGATGATCAATTTTTTATTTTATTTTTTAATGGGAAAACAACTAGACTATTTCATAAAAATGACAAATGACAATATTGTAGGACACGATTAAGCTATTTTTGGTATTGGCCGACTCAGTCGTCCCATTTTGAGTCGAGACAGAGTGAGACATACTTTTGATATTATTAATACCCTGATATCAGCTGCAGAATGCCGTTAGTCATTAGGCGTGTGAGGGATTATGGGATAGAGGAGGACTGACTCAGATCCCTCACTAAGTAAACTTCCTCATTTGGATTCTGCAGAGGGATGAAGTTGTGCATTTAAGGATTTGGGCAGGGTAAGCTAAACTGAGCCTAGATCTGTGACAAAGAAATAGTCTAGGCTACATTCATTTACTTTAAAAGAATAGAGGCAACGATTTTACATGGGACGACGACTATGACGATTCACTTTGTGTAGAATCCGCTAGAACCACGTGCGTTCCAGTTCTACTAGCCATTCCTGTTCCTTGGCGTGTTCTCCAGTAGAAAAGAAAGGAACTCAGTGCTGCTCACAGAGGCCGGGTGGAAAAGCAGCACCTTGGTTTCGTCATATGACGACCACCTTCGTCAGTCACTCCCTATAGCAGTGCTTAGGCTAATGCAAACAAGGAGGCTCACTGACTAAATGGTGAATAATTGAAGGATTTCAACCTGCGTGACAGCAAGGCCTACACAGTAATTAAACAATAGGCTCCCATTTGAACAGAGCAGTCGGTGCCGTTTAAGATGAGGGAGGACAATTATTATTTTTATGAGCATGGCCTTATTTCTATTACAGCATATTAGATGACTGTCATTCATATTCCATTCACCCAGCTCAATTTAACGTCAATTGGGCGGCAGGTAGCTTAGTGGGTAAGAGCGTTGTGCCAGTAACCGAAAGGTCGCTGGTTCTAATCCCCGAGCCAACTAGGTGAAAAGTCTGTCGATGTGCCCTTGAGCAAGGCACTTAACCCTAATTGCTCCTGTAAGTCGCTCTGGATAAGAGCGTCTGCTAAATGACAAATTTATTTATTTTTAGATTTAGGCTACTACATGATACTCAAATGTCCCTATACCCATCATGAGGCTGCTACAACCTAGCCTATGAATTAAAGTTTACAATGTAGGTGCACAGGACAAGATCATTTTTTGTAATTAAGGTGACCGACAGTGACACATTCAATACCGCCTTGCACACTCTTGCCTGCATCTAGCTGATCTAGGGTGTAATCATTAGTCCAACTGTTGCAAATGAGAGTTTCAATTGGACAAATTCAGGTGAGTTTCTCGGTTTCGTTACGTTTATGAAACTATTTTCAACAGAAAATCAGCGGAATGAATACACCCCTGATCACACACAGTTCACTTTCATAGCAGCCACATACAAACAGCATGATCACTGTGCTCGTTGTAATCTACGCGCTCTCCTCCTCTCACCTTTTCCCTTCACTTGTGGACTTCAGTGCACAACACAGCCACTGTCTGTGACCAAAACATTTCCAAGCCAAACCTTCATATCATAACTGCTACCTACTTATATTTGATATATTTGACCTACTACATATCATCTAACGTCATAGTCAACATAGCTACTAGAACAAACACATTAGTAAACCCGCTACAATGATGCAGTACTGTGTACAGTCAGCAAGCACTTTAGCAGTTACACCGGCAGGGCCCGGTGGCAATAAATGTATAAAAACTAAAATGTATATTGACTTGGAAGAGTTCCATTGTTGGTTAGCCTTAGCCAGCTAGCTAACATAGCATACCTCTCTGAGCTGGGTGTTTGAGCAGGCTAGGCTAAACTAGCTAGCTAGCTAAGTAAGTCCTCAAAAAAATGTTTTACAGCTAGCTCTCTCGCTCTCTCCCTCTTAGTTCTCCTTCATTTTTGAAGAAATGTATTTGTTCAAAACTGTTCAAGTATTGTCTTTCTCTGAGTCAACTACTCACCACATTTTATGCACTGCAGGCTAGCTGTAGCTTATGCTTTCAGTACTAGATTCATTCTGATCCTTTGATTGGGTGGATAAAAATGTCAGTTCATGCTGCAAGAGCTCTGATAGGTTGGAGGACGTCTTCTGAAAGTTGTCATAATTACTGTGTAAGTCTATAGAAGGGGGTGAGAACCATTAGCCTCCTAGGTTTTGTATTGATGTCAATGTACCCAGAGGAGGACCGAAGACAGCTGTCCTCCGGCTACACCATGGTGCTACCCTACAGAGTGCTGCTGAGGCTACTGCAGACCTTCATTGCAAAACAGTGTGTTTAGTATAGTTTTATCTAAAAAGCTTTTAAAATGTTCCACTATTTTTATGAAATTCACTGAGGATGGGTCCTCCCGTTCCTCCTCTGAGGAGCCTCCACTGGAACAGAGAAGTGTTTAGAACTGTCAATTCAGACAGCAAAATTCTGCCTTTTTCTCTCGCAGCTCTCTTTTCTTCAAAGTACAGTAGGCCGGGAAAATGGGGCAAACTGAAAATGAGTGACTTATTCAAGGCCACAGTACAGTTACAGGTTGTGAGGAATCATGTGCACGTATGTCACACGACATATTCTAACGGACCTACATTTCCATTCATAACACCCTGTAGACAGTATTCTGGCAGTTAGGGGGAAGTCCCCATAGGGAAGGGATTTTATCTGTTTGTTACAAGATCAGGGCCAGAAACTAAGAAGGAAACATCGACATTGTCAGTGAGTGGACAACAAAGCCATTCTATTAGACTCATAACGAAATCAGACATGTATTTTCCCAGGAATTCCAGTTGGACAGTGCATTGGAAATGTGTTTAGAAATAGGTACACAGACAGGCGTCACACACAGAGCAATTCTCCGCCAGGGACACTAAGTGTTTAGCCACTGTTTGTTTGGTTTCATCAGGAATTACATCAACATTGTATAAGAGCAAGGCCGGGTAATACCGCCTCCAGGATATCTACAGCACCCCGGTGTCACAGGAAGGCCAAAAAGATCATCAAGGACCTCAGCCACCCGAGCCACGGCCTGTTCACCCCACTACCATCTAGAAGAGGGAGACCATACAGGTGCATCAAAGCTGGGACAGAGAGACTTCGGCTTCTATCGCCGTCAGACTGTTAAAAAGTCACCACTAGCCGGCCTCCGCCCAGTACCCTGCCCTGACCCTTAGTCACTGTTCTAGCCGGCTACCACCCGGTCCTCTACCCTATACCTTAGTGAGACTGCTTTGCCCTTTGTACATAGAGTCATTGAACACTGGTCACTTGTTTACATACCGTTTCACCCACTGTATATATATACAGTTGAAGTCGGAAGTTTACATACACTTAGGTTGGGGTCATTAAAACTCATTTTTCAACCACTCCATACATTTCTTGTTAACAAACTATAGTTTTGGCAAGTCGGTTAGGACATCTACTTTGTGCTTTAGGACATCTACTAAGTCATTTTTCCAACAATTGTTTACAGACAGATTATTTTACTTATAAATCACTGTATCACAATTCCAGTGGGTCAGAAGTTTACATACACTAAGTTGACTGTGCCTTTAAACAGCTTGGAAAATTCCAGAAAATGTCATGCTTTAGAAGCTTCTGATAGGCTAATTGACATCATTTGAGTCAATTGGAGGTGTACCTGTGGATGTATTTCAAAGCCTACCTTCAAACTCTGTGCCTCTTTGCTTGACATCATGGGAAAATCAAAAGAAATCAGCCAAGACCTCAGAACATTTTTTGTAGACCTCCACAAGTCTGGTTCATCCTTGGGAGCAATTTCCAAACGCCTGAAGGTACCACGTTCATCTGTACAAACAATAGTACGCGAGTATAAACACCATGGGACCACGCAGCCGTCATACCGCTCAGGAAGGAGATGCGTTCTGTCTCCTAGAGATGAACGTATTTTGGTGCGAAAAGTGCAAATCAATCAGCAAAGGACCTTGTGAAGATGCTGGAGGAAACAGGTACAAAAGTATCTATATCCACAGTAAAACAAGTCTTATATTGACATAGCCTGAAAGGCCGCTCAGCAAGGAAGAAGCCACTGCTCCAAAACCACCATAAAAATGCCAGACTACGGTTTGCAACTGCACATGGGGACAAAGATCATACTTTTTGGAGAAATATCCTCTGGTCTGATGAAACAAAAATAGAACTGTTTGGCCATAATGACCATCGTTATGTTTGGAGGAAAAAGGGGGGATGCTTGCAAGCCGAAGAACACCATCCCAACCGTGAAGCACGGGGGAGGCAGCATCATGCTGTGGGGGTGCTTTGCTGCAGGAGGGACTGGTGCACTTCACAAAATAGATGGCATCATGAGGAAGGAAAATTATGTGGATATATTGAAGCAACATCTCAAGACATCAGTCAGGAAGTTAAAGCTTGTTCGCAAATGGGTCTTCCAAATGGACAATGACCCCAAGCATACTTCCAAAGTTGTGGCAAAATGGCTTAAGGACAACAAAGTCAAGGATTTGGAGTGGCCATCACAAAGCCCTGACCTCAATCCTACAGAACATTTGTGGGCAGAACTGAAAAAGCGTGTGCGAGCAAGGAGTCCTACAAACCTGACTCAGTTACACCATCTCTGTCAGGAGGAATGGGCCAAAATTCACCCAACTTATTGTGGGAAGCTTGTGGAAGGCTACCCGAAAAGTTTGACCCAAGTTAAACAATTCAAAGGCAATGCTACCAAATACTAATTGAGTGTATGTAAACTTCTGACCACTAGGAATGTGATGAAATAAATAAAAGCTGAAATAAATAATTCTCTTTACTATTGTTCTGACATTTCACGTTCTTAAAATAAAGTGGTGATCCTAACTGACCTAAGACAGGGAATTTTTACTAGGATTAAATGTCAGGAATTGTGAAAAACTGAGTTTAAATGTATTTGGCTAAGGTGTATGTAAACTTCCGACTTCAACTGTATATATTGTATTCTAGTCATGGCTCATCCTATATAAACTTATTTTTGTATTTTTCTGGATTATGCGTGTACCGTTTTTTAAAATTGTATTTTTATTTCTAGGTATTACTGCACTGTTGGACCTTGAAACAAGTATTTCATTGCACCTGCAATAACATTCGCAAATGTATACTCGACAAATAAACGTTGATAATAAATTCACACCAATGCCAATAAAGCTTCATTGTCTTGTAAATCCTTGACCAACTGAATGAGAGCAACATTGTTTTAAAAGAGTGACTGTCCCTAACAAGCAACTTCTTGTTTTGAAAACAGCCTATGTGGCATCGATATGAGTCAGAAAAGTTTATTACCTACCATCACCGTGAAATGCTTACTTACG